GAATAAAGACTGGAGGGAGAGAGCACTGGTTGCTTTCCATGGATGGTTACATGGTTCTCCTATTTTCTCTTGTTCCTATTTCCTTTTTTTCTACTCTCATTTCCCTCTTTGGACTCCCCTAATTCCCCTCTACTTTCTTCTTTTTCCCTCTTCCCTACATTTTTGAGCTCCAAAATTATCTTCATCACTGAGGAACTATGTTTTCATCCCTCTTTGCTCAAGTTTAAGTTCTTTCTCCATTAGTTAATATCCTTAGATTTTAGGCAAAGTGATCCATAAGAGATACTTGAATCTAATAAAAGACACACCAGAGAGTTAGGCCAGAAGGAGGCCATTGTTTTTTGCATAGACATCTCTTGACTGTTTTCCAGGGATTATTCTGACTCTGGGTTCAATTTCTTGGGTCCTTCACTAGATTTTATGTGTGACACTCATATGACAGTGAGTGGAATTAGCTAGTACACGGTGAAACGCCTCAGACACAAAAACAAATAAAATGAGCTTCCCTTCCTGGGCCCTGTGACATATTAGAGAAAGAGCAGAAGTAGCCACAGAATAGTGGCATACAATTCTGCACTCTTAGCCAAGTCCCAGCTGCCAAGCCATACTTGTTTGACAACTTGATGATACAGGAAGTAGTTGAAGAGAGGAGAGCAAAATTGGGTATAATGTCCTGTTGTAGATGTCAGAGAGAACATGGGAGGCAATGGGAGGCTGTCTTGTGCCAATGTATGCAGGAAGGGTGTCTGAATCTCTAAGATACCCATTGTAGTCATAACCTTGTCTATGAACATCAGTGAGGGTTAGGCTGCGAAGGAGAGGGTGGTGCATGGATAATTCAAAACCCTTTCCTTTTGGATTGAAATTTTCTTTATAAATTTACAATTACCTAAAAAGTTACCTTATTTGTCATTTTTTTCCTTTTTTAATACTTTTTAAAATTTTTTATATTAATTACAGTTTATTTACTTTGTGTCCCAGTTGTAGTCCCCTCATTCTCTCCCAACCCACCCTCCCTCCCTCATCTCCTCCTTGCCCCTCTCTAAGTCCACTTATAGGCGAGGTCCTCCTCCCCTTTCATCTGACCCTAGCTTATCAGGTCTCACCGAGGCTGGCTGCTATGTCCTCCTCTGTGGCCTACCTAGGCTGCTCCTCCCACAGAGGGCTGAGGAGATCAAAGAGCCAGCCATAGAGTTCATGCTAGAGACAGTCTCTCTTCCCCTTACCAGGGAAGCCATTTGGATACTGAGCTGCCATGGGCTATGTCCAAGCAGGGATTCTAGGTTATATCCGTGCATGGTCCCTGGTTGGAGAATCAGTCTCAGACAAGCCCCTGTGCCCAGATATAGTTGATCCTTGTGGAGCTATTTGTCATTTTTTTTAAATTGCAGTACCAATAAAATTTTATTTCCCTGAGAGTTGAGGAGGTTCTAAGGCAGAAGGAATCATGGGGATAAGTAAGGGTGGAGAAAGCCCTTACTAAAGTCATTTCTCTGTTTTTCTTTTCTCAGAAAGTTCTGGGTCAGTGTGAGGCTAGGCCACTCACTGCTGGGACCTCTAGAAAAGATACTAACTTGTCTTCAAATCAGTCATTATTTTTCTGAAAAGTCATCAGGGTGAGTAGTCTATAATTTATATCAAAACAGAAGTGCTGCCTCATCCAGCTCAGTGGAGTAACCTTTTCTATCTTATCACACATTCAAAGAAGCACTTCTCAGACATAACTGTAGGTGTAACCCGGGGAAATGCCCCTTCCTGCTCACACTTTCTTGCCTCTCTGCTGTATTCACACCTCCAGTCTTGATCCTCCCCAATCTCTCTCTCTCTCTCTCTCTCTCTCTCTCTCTCTATCTATCTCTCGTATTCTCCCAGGCAAATCTTGAGGTGTTGGAAATCTTATTTCTTGAGTGTAGGAAATTTGGGGGATAGAATATGTATAGTTATGTTTACGATTCTCTGGTGACAGTAAACCCTCTTGTGAGTCCTGGGCACCAGGATATAATGTATACTCTGGACTGTCCAACTTCTCTGAGATTTTTCTTCTTTGCTATTCCTATGGCAATACTTCTCTAATGTTTCCCACTGTAACCGGGTATCCATTTAGGGCAAAGCTCTGTCGCCCCATTTTGTCTTAAAGGTCCTTTTTGGCTGAACTGGTTCCCTCCTGTGGAGTCACCTGGTGTGTCCTGCTAGATTCTGGGCTTCAGTCCTAAAAATCTTGGATCTGTAAACACTTTCTTTGGTCCTTAGTCACAAACAGATGGTAAGAAGTCATGGACTTGATTTTATTTTCTGTCTATTCCCTATTTATTGTCCTTCTTCGGCTCCTCTCCTCAGGCCTTACATTCTGCACCAACCTTTCTGAAAACTCTGAGCCTCAGCTCTCCTCGCTTCCCATAAGTCTCAGTTCTGAGGGCTTCTCACTGCCTCACCCTTAGTTTCCATTTCTGTGACCTTTTATATCATTGTCCATCATCATCTAGCAGTTAAGTTTCTACACTGAAACATTCTGGGAATTGGTATCCATCTTTACTGCATCTTTGTCATAAAAATGCAGCATGCAGCAGTGTTTCCAGGTTAGACCCCCTGGCCTTAGTGAACTTCAAAGTTCTTAAGTGCTTCCATTTTGTTGTGGATTCAAGCCATTCTGGCTCCATAGCAGGGGCTAAGGAGTTTCTCTTTGGGGGCATCTCCTGTATTGACTACTATGTTCTGAGGCTATTTTTTGTCATCATAATGACAATGATGATAGCAGTGATAATGATAGTAAGAAAGATACTGATACATGAGGCTCAACTATGCACTAATCCTTCACAATCACCTTAGGGGCACGTGCTACCACAAAGAAAGACACTGAGGCTAACAGACATTAAGTAGATGACCCTCAGTTGCTTAGAAAGTAGTAAGGCTGGATCTGAGCCCATGAAGAGACTATCTCGCTCCATCTCCTTCATCAGGATATAGGAGCTTCCAACAGGTGGGTGTCTCTTCATACCTAGTATGATGGTTATTGTCAATTGTCAACTTGACAGAATATAAGATCACCAGAGACGAGCCTCTGGGTAAGCCTTGGGGGTGAGGGTTATTTTGATGAGGTAGGCCAGTGTGACCATTGTGGGTAACACTGTTCCTTAACTGAGATCTTAATCTCTATGAATTGAAAAGGGCACTAAGTGCCAAGCTTTCATTCATCGTCCCCTTTTTCCTGACTGTAGATGTAATGTGCTTCCAGCTTCTGTTCTCTTCTTTGGCTTTCTGGGCTGCAACCTATGAGCTAAATAAAGCCCCTTTCCCTTGAGTTGATTTTGTCAGGGTATTCTATCATAGCAACGGGAAAAGAAACTAAGGCCCTGAGACAAAATCCAGTCATGAAAACAGAATGGTGACCAGCAGAGTAGGAAAAATGCTCAGGCATTATTTGTCCCTTCAGGAGATGTAGGATTCAGATAATGAGGTAGCATTGACTATCAGCCAGATGACCTAACTGGACAGTTAGAATCATTTTCTCTCCTGGGTCACTTGGCTTCTGCTTGGCCCTGGTAATTTGATGAGTATTCTGACTCGGCAAAAGTGCGGCGTCATCATCAGCAACACCTCAGGCCATGCTTTCTTTGGCTGCCCCCTGGAAGCAAGGGCCCCGCGCAAGAAGTGAGGAATGTTTCCGCTGCAGCATCTGGGGACTGGATGGAGAGAGTCTTTCTCTGGAGGATGTTTGACCTGTACCACCAGGAAGGAAGCTTTCATTTGGCTAAGCTGGTTTTCAGACGTGGCAGAGAGGACACAGTCGGAGCCTCAGACCCTGTGTGTGGTCATTTAGCTTTGCTATGTTCCGTGACCACAGCCCTGCTTTAGGTCTCGGCCAGACATCTTGTAATGCATACGGCATGCTGTTATAGTCTCTGTGGGCTGGGGAGTAAAAGGTGTGGATGAGTCAGTTCAGCTCCAAGTCCTTGACCTGAAGATTAGTTTAAAACACACATCTGGAGGACGGTGGGAACACACATGAGGTCAAGTACAAGGATCTCATAAGATATTTCAATTTGGGGCTCATTCCTTGAAGGATGCCTTCACATCCTCAGTTACAAAAAGATGACTGGCTGTCAGTTACAAAGAAAGTGAAATAGGGTCCAAGCATATCACAAGCCTAAGCTATGTGACAAAAATTAGTACATTTGGCCTTTTTGTAGTTAGGTGGAAGTCTATCCCTTTCAGAACAAATTCAAAGATGGTTTCTTCTGTTTGTAAAATATTTTAAGTGTGTGTGTGTGTGTGTGTGTGTGTGTGTGTGTGTGAGTGTGTGTGTGTGTGTGTGTGTGTGTGTGTGTGTGTGTGTGTGCTCTTGAGTACAGTTGTCTAAGGAGGTCAGAAGAGGGTGTTGAGTCTCCTGAATCTGGATGTGGATGTTGGGCTTTGAGCTGTTTTAAGTAGTTTGGGCTATGCTAGATTCTTCATGCTTGCATATGAAACTTAGAATCAACTTATCGGTTTCTATGGAGAAGTCTGCTTGGGCTCTAACTGGGATTGTATTAAACGTTCAAATTGCTTGGGAGCTTGTTTATTTCTCTGGGTTTTTGACTGCTTTGTATACACTGTATTAAAGTGTTTTGGAAATGAGCTTCAGAAATCTCAATGAGAGAGAGAGTCAGAATTAATGTTTTTAATGCCAATTCAAAGGTAATTAATATAACGGATAAGTATAAACATTGAACATACGCCACCTGGATCAGGAATCTCAGGATCTGAGTGATCATCAGATTATTTCACAATGGAAAACTTCAGTTGCTGCCAGCTCACTGGACACGATCTACACTCAGAAAGTAGAAGCTACATTTGTAAAATGTTTAGTTTCCAACAGAAATTAATGAGTTGGCATTCTCCACTCTGCTCTGCAAATGGTGAAACTAAATTGTGAAGAGATTGGGCTTTGAACACAGTTGTTAGTGGGAAGATTGTCACCGAGGCCCAGTCTTGTCCGCCATGGCTCTGAGAACTCTCCTTACCTCTGGGGTTTTAGTGTGGCTGGTGTATCCTTGGATCCTGCTGCTGCCTGGGACCCGTGTGAGACTGTGTGGAGGAGGTAGGACAATTTCTGTGACCAGTTTTGTAGAGTGAGTATCTGGGCAAAACAAAACAAAACAAAACAAAAAAACCCAAAACACACAAACAATCCCAAAACCCCGAAACTAGAAACAAAAGCAGAACAAAAAGACACCCCCGCTGTTCTACCGCGTTCACAAATAAGACCACTCTGCTGTCCACTGGAGTATGTTTCAGAACAGATTGACAAAGTTCAGAACTGCCCGTGGTTTGGAGGTTGCCAAGCCTACAGCCTGAATATGAAAGCTATGGGTTCCCTTGTGTACAGCAAACATGCTGAATGTCAGCCCAGGTGTGGAGCCTTAAGTGGCCTCTTCACCCTATAAAAGCTCAGTTGCCTTCCTGGCCAGTTCGAGCGCTTACCTCCTGAGCTCCAGTGAACTCTTGTGTCTCACAGGCAGCTCCTCCTGAGTCCCCTTCTTTCCTTTTTCTCATCAGCCTCACCCTTGGCAGCCTCCCTATGAAATCGAGCCTCCTTCATCTTCTCTCTCCCTCAAAAGCTGGACCGCTTTTGTGCTGAATTCCCGATTTTCTCGCCTTTGCCAAAACCCAAAGGCCCACATCTGCCATGTGCCAGAGAGGAGAGGTTGTTTGGAAGAATGCAGAAGTGACCTTGAATCTTTTTCTCAACACTCCAATGACAGGTTCTCTCCTTCCCGGCCACACCCCAGCACAAACACTTCTTGCAGGATCAGGGAATGTTTCATGGCCTCTTTTCCTTTTCCTTTCTCTACCACCCTTCACGAGCACTTCCCAGCTGTTCCCTCCCTGTCGCTTCTCTTCTGGAATATTAATCAGAGAGCTGAAATCCCAGGGCAGCAAGGGGTTTAGGGAGGACATTTAACCCAGGCCCCAGCCTCCTGGCAACAGGCAGATGCCTGGGTAAAGGACTCTTTCTTTCACTGTTAGCCTTTCAGAAATATAATCATTAAGTATCTCTGTTTTATTCCTTGGTGCCTTACTTCAAAATTTCATTTAAAAAAATGTTTGCTTTCTTAGTATATCAAAGAAATAGCTGTTCTCCTTATTCATTACAGCGCAATTCACAATAATGGAGATTTGGAATTTACTTAGGTATTCAAAAGCAGATAAATAAAAGCAGATAACGTATATACAATTGATTATCATGCAACCTTAAAATAGAATGGCATTCTGTCCTTGGAAACAACATGAATGAGCAGGAGGACATTGTTTTAGATGGAATAAGTCAGGCAGAGACAGATACACAATGCATGTCATGTTCTCATTTATCTGTAAAAGTAAATACCAGAAATAGTGGCTGGGAAGACTGTGGGTGTGTGTCAGGGTAGAGGTTGGGGGATGGAGAAAGCCATGCAATTGAATGGAGGAACAGCCCTAATATTCTATCCCAGAGTATAACTATGCATGGTAAGTAAATGATATATTTCAAATGAGTGAAATTTTGGATGCTCTCAACACAAATGAATGATAAATGTTTGAAATGATGAGATCAACAATTGCTTTAATTTGGTCATTTACCTTAACTTGACAAATATATGTTTATATTTATAATATAATTAATATAAATATCTGTTTATATATCACTATATAAATATATGTATTTATATATGTATATCACTGTGTGTCCATAAATGTACATTCCAATTGCAAATTTAAACTGTTTCAAGGGGTCATTGAGATGTTTCAGTGGGTAAAAGCACTTGATGAATATGATGACCCAAATTCAATCCCCAGGACCTACATGGTGGAAGGTCTCTACTGACTCTTTCAAGTTGTCCTCTGACCATCATATATATGCCATGGAATGCACTTGTTCACATGCCCAAAGCAGGAAATAAACAAATAGAAAGGAAGGAAAACGAGAAAAGAAAAGTAAATACTTTGATTCTTCTGTTCAGGGCTGCACAGCACATACAAGTGTGTCTGTTGATGAAACTGTGGTACTCTCTTCTGGAAGATGTTCAGCAACAAACCCTCTTCCTGGGTCAGGCAGAATTCTCAGGGCCTCATATATGGTGATGGGATTCTAGAGGTAAAGAAAAGACTACAAGGCAACCAGAGATAGTTCAACCATGGAGCCTGTGACTGAGCTACAGTCAGACGCTAAGAATGGAGCTTACACCGCAGCCTCTGTAAATCTACCACGAGCTCTTCTGAGATGCAAATGGACTCCATGCTTGTAAATAATACCTAGTAACTCAGCTCTAAGCCAGGCTGTAGTTGGATGAAATAGTTCAGACTGAGTTTGACGGTGGGTTGATTTTTACTTGCTGAGTACTGGTTGATTCTATGTATCAGAAAGAGGTAGGCACCTCTGCTGTTTTGAGGTCAAAGCAGAGAGACACGCAAGATTCCTTCCCTTGCCTCCAGTGATCTAAGCAGAAAAAAAGAGACAATTTTCTTTGACCCTAAGTGCCAAATCCTCTGTCTTCCTTGATGGGACATATGCTTTGAAAGCCCTCTCTTCCCTTGTATTTACATTTTACTTCCTATCTTTCTAGTTTGCTCCATCCCTTCAAAGATTTAGATGCTCACCTTTCTTCACCATCTATACACAATTTTATCACTTGAAGCTTTATTGTTTTTGAAGATTTATTTTTATTTATGTGTGTAAATGCACGTGTGTATGTCTCTGTGTGTGTGCACACGCATACACCACATGTCTATGGGTGCCTGGAGAGGCTTAAAGAAGGCCTCCATACCCTTGGATATAGACTTACAGGCAGTCGTGAGCTCCCTGATATGGGCAAAAATGGGGTGGTGATGGAAAAGTTTCTCTTTTGGCAAGCAGTTGGAGGATGCGAGGATAAACAGGGAGTGGTCAGCTAAAGAATGTCAGGTAATAGACATCTCTCATGGCTGTCCTTTGCAGGAGGGCAACAGGGCTGGGAAGATAATAAGATTGTGGGGAAAGATGTGGAAATGCAAACTAATGTTGTTTCAGAAATATCATCAGGCATAGAAAGGACTTCACAGGATATCATGACCCTGGCAACCACTCCTGAATTTTATTTTTATTAGATAAGTGAAAAGTGGGCATAGCTAATGTTCTCATAGCTTTTTCCTGTTGGGCAAGGGTGGTGTCACAAGGGGGTGTGGTTTGGGGCAGTCACTGATTTTGGAAATTTGAAGCAGAAGGGTGCTGTGAGGAAGGAATCCTTCTTCAATGTGAGGCTTCAGGAATGTTCTATTAGTCAACTATTTGTCCATCTATATTATTCTAAATATGTGATGGCAGAGTTTGCTCGGAACAGAGAGATGGCCAATTTTTATTTCACTTTATTCTTTGCAAAACCATGTTACTTTCACTCCTTTCTAGTACCTGCCATGCTATAGAAAGAAAAAATTCTTCATAACATATTTGATTACTATTTCTCATGCTCTGATGGCTTTTCTCGAAATACTAGTCTCTCTCCATGGTATAATACTGTTTTGTCTGGTTAGCTAAACATGCTCCTAAGGGTACAAGTGGGTGGCCAACGACTCTGACCAGAGCTATCCAATATGGTAGCCTCATGTGGCTACGAGGCACTTGAAATATGAGCCAGGCAACTGAGTACTGAATTTTTAATTCAGTTTAAAACCTGACACACATGCACTTCAGTTTCTGGATGAAATGGTTATGAAATGGCTCAACAGTGCTCCAAGTGTAAGTTTTATGAGCTCAGAAATCAAGCCTTGCTAAAGACTTCAGCATTTAAACCGAGTTGTGCTCATTCAATAAAACAGACACTAGGTTTATGGGGGTGGTAAGGAAAAAAGAATGTAAAATATTTCATTAATTTAAAAATATTGGTTACACACTATAATAATACCTCATTTCTGCTGGATGAAATAAAATTGTATTATTAAAATTAATTTCGATTGTTTCTCCTACTTCTTCATGTGGCTACTAGAGGGCAGAAAGCTGTGAATGTGGTTCCCATTATGTTCTATTAAGCAAGGCTGGTCTGAGTTATGCCATTCCTTGTTTCATGACTGCTCTGGGTGTAGTCAAATATATAATCTATCTCTGTGGCAGGCTAGGTTAGGGGTTACTGTAGGTGTTACATAAATGTCGCCCCCAAACATAGATGGGACCTAGAAATTTCCTTGTATGTCTTTCAGTTCTTTGCATTCACGTATATGGTTTTCGGTGGTGGTTTTGCGTTTTGTGTTTTTGGTTGCTCAAGAAGGCCACAATCAACTTGCCTGCCTCAGCCTCCAAAGTAGTTGAGTATTCGGGCACATACCGCTGTGTCTGATGTGTTTACACAGGAGAATAGCAGGACTTCCAGAAAACACATTGTAAGGGTTCTTGTGTGTGTGGGGGGGAGACATTCGGAATTCTTACTATAAATGTGTTATTTCCTACAGATAAACACACAATCTTTAGGGTAGGGAGATTTGTTCAAGCATGTAGGGCTCTGCTGTGGCGCCCTCGGACCCCTGCTGGTCAGTGTTCTTCCTGTTAGGTTTCGCTCAGAGTGACTGCGACCACAGACAGCCATGAAGATGATGACAGACCATTACAAAGCACCGGACTAGCAAGTTATTAATGAAACTCATAGGAGAGACCACCAAGCACGTCACTCAGAAGGCTGACTAGCAGGAATGGAACACACAGGGTTGAAAGTTGGCAGGAGCCTAGGGTAGGAAGTAAGACTTGAAACCCTAACTCAGTTCTGATTGGGTTATGTCACTATCTAAGTCATCCTTCACGCCCCACTCCTCTGCTCATCTATTAAAGGAGAAGGTCAGAGCAGTAGGTCTCTAGGGTCCCTCCCTGCTCCAGCAAACCAAATTTCAATCAGTCTAATCCTGACCTCCAGCTGCAAAAACACCAGGCCAGCCCCCCCTCCCCCCACCGCCCCAGGGTTTGCAAATGCTAATATTACAGGCTAGCAATCATGTCTCTCAGGGTGTGAGGTGAAGCACTTGGAGAGCCAGCAGGCTCTGTGACTCTGCTTAACCTCACTCCTGGCCCGGGACCTCCTTCTTACTTGTGGTGTGTTCATCACACACACACACGGCTTGGCTGAGTCAAGTGAACTTATCTTTTATTTGAAACATTTTTTTTCAAATGAGTATCCTCTAAGTGTATGCTAATATCTCCTTACAGCTATGCAAGATAAGGCCTGTTTACACATACAGAATGTCTCACCCATGTTGAAGTTTTTTTACATGTTTATTAACGATGCTCAGTTCATCTTTTATGAGTGGGCTGTGCATGTATTTCACCTGATTATCATTCTACAGCTTTTGTCTTAGCAATTTAAAAGAGTTCTTTTAAACAGTTAAATTGTTAACTCTTCCTTACCATGTATTGTGTGCGTGTGTGTGTAGTCCAGAGGTCAACTTCATATGTCTCACTCAGGATGATCTTTTCTAGTTCCACCCATTTGCCTGCAATTTTCATGATTTCAACCTACTTTTAAAGCCCCTTCTCCACTCCTCATCAAACAATTTCATGCATTAATAGCTTTCCTCTTTATGGCCTATGGCATAAAATAAGAAAATAGATCCCGTTCTTTTTTTTTTTTTTTTTTTTCTGGATAGTCCCTCATCTCCTACACCATTGATTAAATCCATTTTCCTGTCCTTTTTTCTTTCCCACTCACTTTATCTGGCCTATCATTGACATCACAGGAGAATCTTTTTCTTAAGAAAGTCTGAATGGCATAATCATACTTGGCCAACTTACTCTAAATTGTGTATGGC